AAAAAAAAAAAAAAAAAGTACCACTTTCTCTTACGTAGTGTGAATGTAGTGAGTATTCTGGGCGGCGGACTCTTTCCACTGTCCTCTGGTGTTTTTGATTTGGCTCTCTCCTTGAGACTTATTTTCATTTTTGTTTCCTTGTAGCTGGAACGGCTTTGGGTCTTGGGGTTGTGAACATCCTCCACACTATAAATCCTTCCCTTGTGATCCTCTCTGGAGTCCTAGCCAGTCACTACATCCACATCGTCAAAGATGTCATCCGCCAGCAAGCCTTGTCCTCGGTTCAGGATGTGGACGTGGTAGTTTCGGATTTGGTGGATCCCGCCCTGCTCGGTGCCGCCAGCATGGTTTTGGACTACACAACTCGCAGGATCTGCTAGGCCTCCCAGGAGGGGACATGGACCAAGACTCAGAACTTCTTCGTGGAATCAGGTTGTCTTTTAGATAAGCGTTTCTTACAAAGCAAATTTGGTATTTAGCAGGTGACTTCAGCAGTTAAGTTTTTGCTTTTAGTCTCCTCTTCCAAAGTCACTTTTCCCAACCCGTTTTGGTAGATGCTGCTCTTTCTGGGGTCATTTTAGCTCAAACCCTGTAAGTACCAGTCACAATTTTCTGTGCCAAAGGAGCTGTGATAGTAGACAAGGAAGCCTTAGGACTCTGCTCACCAGACGTACCACTTAGACCTGCAGGCCTTGCTTGAGATGGGACCTTGATACTGGAGTTTGGATTATTAATCCTTCCTACTCTGACCTTAAACTCAGATTGCAGAAAGGGATCCAGTCAGGAAACAGAAGGAAATCTCACCGTGAATGGCTAAAGTAAACTTTTTTAAAAACAGCTTTACTGAGATATTTTTAAAAGTGTACAATTTGGTAAGCTTTGACATATGTATATACCTGTGAAACCATCACCACAATCAAGACATTGGACATACCTGTCACCCCCAAATGTCATCTGCTTAAAGATGTTATTTGCTACTACTCTTGGAGAGTCTTGAGCAACTTTAGGGATCTGAATTACAGTGGCTTTAAGTGACCTTGTCCTTATCTTCTTAAGGACAGCTGAGAAGCCACTAGGACTTAACAGCCTCTGAAAGGAGATTAACCATCCCCAAAGGATCTTCGCTATGGACAAACACCTCTCCCTTCAATAACTTTTCATGCTAATGTTGAGTATGACCCTGGAGTATCTCCTAAGGCAGCATTTGTGGAGCTCGTATCTGTGAATCTGGATTCTGGCGAAATACGATTTTGTGCTTTCATTGGTGTCTAGATACAAAGGCTAGGGTTCTTGCTATCAATTTCAACCTGGAAGAAATATGAATACCCACCATTTATTAAGTGCCTACTGTGTGCCAGGTTCTGAACTAGGTGCTCCATATACGTTATTCTAAATTCTCACAACCTGGGAGGTAGGTGTTTTAATTTCTATTTTATACAACCGCAAATTAAGTCTTGGCGCGTTTAAGTGATGGCACCTAAAGCTGTGTGGCTAGTGACTCTCAGAAACAGGATTTGCTCCCAGGTCCATCTGTGCTTTTCTGCTAAGCCACACAACCCCTCAAATAAAAACCTTGCAGAAGGTAAATATATCCTAATTTAGTTCAGACTAACAACAGCTTTAATAAGACTGTCTCATTAGCAGATGACTCAATTTGTCTTTGATGCTGTCCCTCAGTGATAAATTTAATCAAATATTCTTCTCTGCTGTGGACATTTTGCCAATACAGTATTTTGCCAATACAGGTTTTTATGGGTACTTTCAGATGATCTAAGAAAGCATATGCATGTTTTTCAGATTCTTATTTTAGGAAAACCAGAAAGTTTCTATTGTTTCAGTGTTAGCATACAAAATAAAGTGTGAAAGAATCACTATTGCATTTGAACTACTTCCTTCCTGGTGGGTTAATGTGAATAGATAGGTTGGCTGATTCCAAGAACTCCACCGGCCCTGAAATAATCTCCAGGTCCTGGTTATTGTTGAAAAATTCCACCGTGATTCCTAGGAAGGAAGCTAGTTCTGCTTGGCGTCAGCGTCTGGGGTGAGGTGGTGTCCTGGGAAGGGACACCAGTTGTTCCTGGGCGACATCTGTAACTGCTCTGGACACCAGACGGTTGCATTGCTACCAGGCTTCATACCAAATATTTGGAAGGATGGTTCTAAATCTAAAACCAAATCTTAGTTTTTATTGAATTCACAGAAAGGATAATTAATATATTCCAACATAATTATTACTGACAGTTAAATCACATATTAATTTATTTTAGTGTAAATATTTGTATGTTACTGTTCTGAGCCACATTCTGAAGAAAAAATAAATATATTTCTTTGTGGAAATCCTAACATTTTTGCATTTTGTTTTCTTAATTAACTGTCTAGCTAAAATCCCTTCCCAGAAGAAATTTATGTTGTTGCACTGCTTACTTTTTGAAGGTCATGTAACTTCTTAAGGCATCTAGTACAGATTTCTTAACCAAACAAATAATAAATCTTTGATAATACGGAGTACTGCTATATAATATTTTTATATATTTCAGATGATCACCACAGTAAGTCTAGTTAACAGCCATCACCATACCTACAGAACTTTTTTTCTTGTAATGAGAACTTTTAAGATCGACTCTTGTAGCAACTTTCAAATATATGGTATTTGAGGTACAGGCGTACCTCATTTTACTGCGCTTCACAGATAATGTGGTTTTTCTTTTTTGTTTTTTTTTTGTTTTTTTACAAATTGAAGGTTTGTGGCAACCCTGTGTCACACAAATCTATTGGCACCATTTTCCCAACAGCATCTGCTCACTTTGTGTCTCTGTCACTAGTTGGTAATGATCGCAGTATTTCAAACTTTTTCATTATTATATTTGTTGTGGTGATCTGTGATGTTACTGTTGTGTTTGGGGGCACCATAAGCTGCACCATATGAGATGGTGAACTTAAACCAAGAAATATGTGTGTTCTGACTGCTCCACTGACTCGCCGTTCCTCCATCTGTCTCCCTCCTCACACCTCCCTATTCTCTGAGACACAATATTGAAATTAGGCCAGTTAATAACCCTACAATGCCTTCTGTGTATTCAAACAAAAGGAAATGTTACACATCTCTCACTTTAACTCAAAGGCTAGAAATGAGTGAGAAGGGCAGGCCAAAAGCCGAGACAGGCCGAAGCTATGCTTCTCACGCCATATAGCCAAGTTGTAAATGCAAAGGAAAAGTTCCTGAAGGAAATGAAAAGTTCACTTGCTACTCCAATGAGCACACATATGGTAACAAGGCGAAACAGCCTTATCATTGGTATGGAGAAAGCTTCAGTGGTCTGGATAGAAGATCAAGCCAGCCACATTTCCTTAAGCCAAAGCCTAATCCACAGCAAGGTCCTAACTCTCTTTAATTCTGTGAAGGCTGAGAGAGGTGAGGAAACTACAGTAGAAAAGTTGGAGGCTCGCAGAGGTGGCTTCATGAGGTTCAAGGAAAGAGGCCATCTCCGTGACATAAAGTTGCAATGTGAAGCAGCAAGTGCTGATGCAGAAGCTGCAGCAAGTTATCCAGAAGAGCCAGCTAAGATCATTA